ACTCTGCAAAATCAGTTTCTACTCCTACAGTCACTTTCCAGTTTCCAATTTTGTTGTCATCTTTAATACTTTCATCTCCTTCCTTACTTTTCTGTAAGTGAGGATTCTATTAGGGGCCCTAGAGGGCCAGGATGTGGTGGCTCAAACCTATAATCCCAACACTTTGAGAGGCCAAACATTGCTTAAGCCCACAAGATTGAGGCAGGCTACAGTGAGCTAGGATTGCACCACTGCACTCCAGCCTGGGTTATAGAGTGATTCCTTGTCTTAACAAACAAACAAACAAACAATGAAGGACTAAAGACATGTGCTTGGCTGGGCACCATGGCTCACACCTGTAATCTCAGCACTTTGGGAGGCCAAGGCGGGTGGATCATGAGGTCAGGAGTTCGAGATCAGCCTGGCCAACATAGTAAAACCCTGTCTCTACTAAAAATACAAAAATTAGGTGGGCATGGTGGCACGTGCCTGTAATGTTAGCTACTCGGGAGGCTGAAGCAGGAGAATCACTTGAACCTGGGAGGCGGAGGTTGTGGTAAGCTGAGATGGTGCCACTGCACTCTAGCCTGAGCAACAGAGCAAGGCTTAGACTCAAAAAAAAAAAAGACACATGAATGCTTAGTTGGTTAAGTGATACATCCTTAGGTCGATTTCAAATTTAGGCATCCAGGCACATTTTATTCTTCTCCAGGTTCCTTCTTGGGGATAACAGCCAATTTAATAAGTTAGTATTTTTAGAGTGCAAAACAACCTAGGAGGAGATAATGCCTGTCATGGCTTCACAGCAGATTCAATGGCAGATCTGCTGTAGTGGCCCCGCATATGATGACATATGGCAGAAGACGGTCAGCAGGCAGACTTGCTCAACTAGATCTGCAGCCCTTTAAAACTGGATTCTGGCTGGGGCACCGTGGCTCACGCCTGTAGTCCCAGCACTTCGGAAGGCTGAGGCGGGTGGATCACTTGAGGCCAGGAGTTCCAAACTAGCCTGGCCAATATGTTGAAACCCCATCTCTACTAAAAATACAAAAATTAGCCAGGCGTGGTGGCAGGCACCTGTAATCCCAGCTACTGAGGAGGCTAAGGCAGGAGAATTGCTTGAACCTAGGAAGCAGAGGTTGCAGTGAGCTGAGATCACACCACTGCACTGCAGTCTGGGCAACAGAGCAAGACTCCATCACAAAAAAAAAAAAAAAAAAAAATTGGATTCTCCTGCCTGGATGCCACAGAATGGCATCCTTTTCCCCAAGTCTCATTATAAAAGGTTCATTGTAATGAAATGACAATTTAGCATCAAATTCTAAATAGAAAATGAGAATAGCCATCTTAATAGATGTTAAAGACCATTACTTAAATGATAATAAAAATAACACCATTTTGCCCCAGGAATTTAATTAAAAATTTTACTTCATAAATAAAATAATTTGGTTTAAAAAAACACTATCTTGTTTCCAGTTTTATATATGAACATTTGCTTTGTTGCTGTCTCCTAAAATAACCATCAAACTCTAAACTGTGCTGAAACTTCTAAGTTCATGATGCATACTGCAGCAGATTTCAGGATTATTATTTTGACGAGCTAACTACTCCAACTAAGGACAGTTGTCAACCATTAAATAAATAATCACTAGGTTGAGAATGGAATAATCCACTACTTACTCTATGCCTGTCTGTTGCAAAACTCCATGTCCAGCACAATTTAGGATGAGGTCTTCAATGGCTAACGGTGTGCAACTTCATGTTGTCAGAATACTGTACTGTGTTTCTCAAATTTTAAGATGCATCAGACCCACCTATAGGTTTGTTAAAAACACAGGTTGCTGCCCACCTCTTTGAATTTCTGATTCCATGGGTTTGGGGTGAGTTGGTCAATCTGCATTCCTAACAAGTTCCCATGGGATCTGACGTTGACAGTCAATCCAGGGACCACACCTTGGAAACCACTGCCATACATAAGTGTTTATGGCATTTGGAGAGACAGTAATATAGTCTCATGGTGAGTGTGGCAGAAACTTTCCTATTTATTCAAAGGAACAAATATTCCTTTGATGCCAAAGGAATCAAAATATTTGGGTAACAGGTAATTTTATGGTTGACAATTTAAAATAGTCTTTTCAAACATTTTCCTTTACTAATCTAACCAATGAATATAGCAGTAGTTAGCCCGTTGGGGGCAACATGATCAAAGTTGAGTTACTAGACACCAAAGAGGAAGAAAAGATTCTTGACTATCATAAACCGACAAAAGGAATGGTTTAACCATAAACACTGTGTTTCTTTGCACAAACAAAGTTGGGACAGTTTGGTAAAAGCTTTTGTGTAATTTTGGAAACGGACTTCAAATTAAAGGATTAAACACATTTGTTTATCTTCATTCCCCCCTAAAAAGGACAGTAAAAGAACATAAAGGGATAAATCCACAGGGGCAAAGAAGACAGAGGAGGAGTTATCAGCAAAAGCCCTGCTTCAACACAATTTTGATGGAGGAATGAAAACTAGTTTAACAGAACAGTGAAAGCTGCACTCTAATGTGGCCCTAGAGGTCAGTACAGAAAGAACTCAATTCCCTACAAAACCCTAGAATGGTCTAGGCCTTGGAGATGCCAGATATCACCAGAAGAAAATGCTGATGAGGGGCCCCAGAAGGGTGAGGGAGACGTGAGCAGCTAAACGCAAGGGGCCAGGTCAATGTCGGCACTTGGAGCTGCCGGAGTCTCAGGTGCCCTGTCCCAATCCTTGCAGTCAGCAAGAGAAAGAGGAGAGAGGCTTGTCCAGCAGGCACAAAGAAGGGCAGGAATAAGGCACCTGCTGGAAAGAAAAAAGTGTGAAAGATTGCATCCTAAACAGTTACTCATCCAGACCCCTTCCCCTGAACCACTTCCAGAACATTGGCAGCCAAGTGAATGCCTCCTCAGGCAAGAGATTCTAAGATATTTCTCATGAGAAAGTGACACACCCCAAAGAAAAGACATCTAGTTTCTGACATTTGAGGTATCTTCCCATGAAAAGACGAGCTTTCATCTGATCACCATACTTGATCACCACAAGCCCACCAGAGAGCAAGCACACTTTTCTCACCCCCATATAGAGTTCCTGGTGCGGTTTCTATTACTTCCTTCTTACTTATAAAAGGAGAGGAAAAGTTTTGCAGACAGTTGACGAAAGCCTCTAACGTGATGGGACTAAAACAAATACATGAGAAGGGAAGCTAGAAGAAAACCTTACAGTAAGCAAACACTCTTAAAAGATAGGAAAAGTTAGTGCAACTGTGACATAATCACAAAATTCTATTTATAACAGACAGCATGAAATGAGCTCTTTAAATAGCAGAGATAACAACCGCAGTAGAAAGTAAAGTAAAATATCCTCCAAAATAGGACAAAAGATGAAGAGATATGTCACAGGAAAAAAAAAAAGATAACATTCTGAGATTAACCCAGTTTAAAAAAGAAATAATAAGATTGAATAATAATTAAGATTTTAATTAGTGCCTGGTACAGTTCTAAGTGGCTCAGACATATTAGTGAAGTAATTACTATTATTATCTCCATTTTATAGATGAGGAAACTGAAGCATAGCAAAATTAGGTGACATTTCCAATAGTAACACTAGAAGCTAGAAGATAAAACAGCAATTTCTGCCTGTAATCCCAGCTACTTGGGAAATTGAGTCAGGAGGATCACTTGAGTCCAGGATTTTGAGGTTGCAGAGAGCTATGACCATGTCACTGCACTCCAGCTGGTGTGACAGAGTAAGAACTGGTTTTTAAAAACTTAATTATTATTATTTGAGACAAGGTTTTGTTCTGTTGCCCAGGTGGGAGTGCAGTGTCATGGTCTCGACTGACTACAGCCTTGACCTCCCCAGCTCAAACAATCACCTTACCTCAGCCCCCTGAGTAGCCGAGACTACTGGTGCATGCTAGTATGCCCAATTAATTTTTGTATTTTTTGTAGAGATGAGGTCTAGTTACATTGCCCATGCTGATCTTGAACTCCTGGACTCAAGTGATCCTCCTGCCTTGGCCTCCCAAAGTGCTGGGATTACAGGTGCAAGCCACTGTGCATGGCCTAAAATTATTTTTTAATTAAAAAATTAAGTAAGTGAAAGAGCAATTTCTACAAACTTAAAAATGAAGAAATTCTGGTTAGAATTCTACACTTGGTCAGACTCTCCATTAAAAGTAAAAGTTGAATAAAGTCATAACGATTATGTAAGAACTCAAATTTTTACCTTCTGTGCCCTTTCTTGGGCTATTACTAGAACACGTGCCATGGAAAATGATGCAGTAAACCAAAAAAGAAGGCACAAAACACAGAAATGGGGATTCTCACACTACAAATTAAAGAGTGTCCCAGGTTGACACATGAGCAGTGGATCCACAGAGTAACTTATCTCCATTGAAACAGTAGAACAATGAATTTCTAGAGCAATTGTTTTCCGGGGAAAATTGGAATTGTTTGATCATTTGGAAAATAAACATGATAGTCATTTGATAGATCAGTTGTAGAAAAATATCGGGATAGGTGCATAATAAACTAAGTAAATAGATACAAGGTTTTACAAGAAAGAAAATAATAATAGTACACGAGCTGACTCTGTTGTCACCGCTATTGGCATAGTTACTTACTTAGCTTCTAAACTGTGAAAGTGCTATGTTGGAAGGAGAAGCTGCTTGGCATGAGAGAACTAAATCCTAATCTGAAGCAACAGGTAGTCAGAGCACCACATCTATTGGCAAATCAAGAGAGAGAGCAGTATAAATTATTTAGAAATAGGGAGGTAAATGACAGAAGAGACAGATAAAAGTGGAATGCAGCTGCCTCTAAAAAGGAGAGGAACACGATAGCTATGTATCTTAAAATATTATATTAAAATAGTACCTGCATTGTCTTAAAATATATTATTTTTTAAAGTGTGTGTTGACATTGTCCTTAAAAAATACAATTTTGAAATTTATTTGTTGAGAATGAACACATGGAACAAACCAAACCCTTGTTTTATCGTGTAATTTTCTGAAAATATGTGATCCATAAAGATTAAAAAAAAAAACCGTGTAGTAAGGGTCTGGCAGCTTTAGTATTAACTTGAAATAAAATATGGTAAGTTTTCCATGTCCTCCTTTATTTCCACAATCCATATGTACGAGCGAGATCCCAGTCAGAACTTCAAAGATACTTCACTCTTTGTTAGCAGCGGTTATAAATTACACCTTTGCTAATTTGCGTTGTTCCCAACCAGGAGAAACATTACCACAAAAAAAGTCAGTTTCATCCTGCAGTGTTTCCGTAGCAACCATATTAAGCTGGAAGGATAAAGCACCTTTGTAGCAGTAGCGTCTATTGAATTACAATGTAAATGTTGATGCCTGCCTGGAAACGTCAAATGACAACAGGTTTACAGAACGAATTCAGTGGTTGTTTGCCGCTCTGGAATCCCGGGCTGCAGAGTTGAGATGGAAGAGGTGCACCTGGCTATCTTAGTGTCCATTCAACCAAATCTCCTCACTTCATCAAAACCACGCCATTTCCCACCTGCCCAGCTCGTAAAAGGTTGCTCACCTGTTTAAAATCTGTAATATAGCTGATGTCTTTTATACAGCAGGACACGAAAAGTGTTTGTTGTGAATACGCATGTTAAAAATTCAATTACGAAACAGATCAAACTTTGTGCTTCTTTTCCCCTTTCAGCACAAAGTAAGTTTAGTCCCGTCCTCTTCTGCCACTGTCAAACAGCCCTGCTACTGTAGGCATTAAATGCCCTGTGACGTACTGCGCATTTGATTCTGGTTCACTTGGGACACCTGAGCTCGGCTCTCATTAGTTTCTTCGCTCGACCCATAATCCCTAGTGTTGGCAGGTGTTGCATTCCCCCAGCCCCTTTCTTCGCTTCGTCCAGTACCCCCACCTTCCCATCCTGGCCTTGGAGAAGGAGGAAAACGCAGCTTGAGGTCTACTCGAAGAACTGGCCCTCAACTTCCACAGGCTGCCACCGAGCTGCCAGCATGCCGCCGCTCCACTCAGGTAAACTTCGGAGTGAGTTACCTGCACTTGGAGAAGGGCCTTACCTGAGCGCGCCTCTGCCAATGGCAGCTCACCTGAGGGAGCTCCGCAGCCAATCACCATGCAGCTCGTCCCTCGGGCTTGTACCCTTTAGTGAAAGAATTCAGCTTCTTGCGAGAAAGTTACCTGTGGCCGCCCAAGTCCGCCACTTTCTGCTCTGTGTCCGCCCATTGCCACGATCCAGGAGGACTCTGCGCCGCCCGGCCGCCTCCGAGCTCGGGCCCCATGTGAGGGGCCCCCCCTTATCCCACCTTTCCGGCTAGGTGAGGGCGCGAGCGGGCGAGCGAGCGAGAGTGGTGAGGGGGGACGGAAAAGCAGAATTACCTGTAGCTCTTGTTCTGCCATCTCGGGCGCTTTCACACACCTTCACCTGCACAGACTTGAAAGTCCAGTTTCACCAGAGGCTGAGGCTCCAGGAAAAGGGGAGCAAGTTCATTGGATCAAACATGTCACAAGAGTCGGACAAGTAAGTGGATCACACGCGCCTGCTGCTGCTACTACCACTTTGGGCTGATGGCAACTGGTTTGTTATGTTTTTGTTTTTAAGTTGCTATTGTTGGTTTTTTTTCTCTCTTTTTTCTTTTTGGTGGATCCAGACTTTTCCGCATTATGTTTCTACCCTGGTTAAGGGGAGAAACCCTACCACAATGTGAATGTTTAATACCCCCTTTGGGCCTTGATAGTAAAAGTGGATTTTCCTTTTCCTTTCTCCCTTAGGAATGGTCTCAGCTCCCGCTCCCGGATAAATACTTGGATATTGCCAGAGGTTTTGGTAGATGGGCGCGGGGGGCCTGCTCTTCCCCTTCTGCTTTAGCTGCTCCCACCGATCTGGCGTTTAGGGCCATTTGGAAGTTCAGCTGAGTTCCTTCGATTTGTCCAAAGGGCCTGCTGGAAAAGTGGGGCTTGGCCGCTTTTGTGTGACCGCAACAAAGAGCTTTTATACCGAGGCAGAAACGGCCATCTTCTCGCACCGGGCAGAAGGGTGGGCGTGAGTGCACGCCCGCCTGTGGCCCCCGAAGGGAGGCTAGGCGCCGGGAGGTCGGGGGGCGCGGGGGCGGCCGGCGCGGTCCCCCAATGCCCCCACATTCCGCCTCCCTCCTCCCCGCCCCCGCCAGCCTCCCCTGGGTCCTCCCCCGCATTGTTTGGCCACCTTCCCCAGGTGCCTGGGAGAAAGCACCGTTCGCCAAGAGGGGAACTCGTGTGAGGCCTCGAGTTAGGGCCTTGGCGGCGCGCAGAGGGGCGCCTGCCACGGAGCGGTTCTCCCGAGCCTCGACGGCGTCTGCACGCCCCTCGAGCTCGCGGCCCTCCACGCAGTTGGCGGCCACCTCAGACGCGGCGGGCGGGACTGAGTGGGGTGCGCCGAGCCTTCTCGGGGGCTCTCGCTGTCGAGGCCGGGGGCCCAGGGTGGCGGGGCCGCTGGACTCGCTTTTTTTGCGTCCCGGGCGGGCACTCCAGACGCGCGGTGGAGCGGCAGCCTGCGCGGCCGGAGCCACCCGCGGGTCGCTGGGCCAGGTCCCGCCGCGTCACGACGGCCTCCCAGCGAGCCGGCCCCCCTCCCTTGCCCTCGCCCTCGCCCACGCCCTCGCCCTCCGGAGGCTTTGTGAGCCTGGAGAGGTGGGGCCTGGGCGGGCGCGGGAGGGAGCCGGAGGTGAGTCCCGCGGCCTTTCTCGGGATTCGGCGGGGACACTCCCTTCCCCCTCCTCTCAGGCGCGTCCGGGCCTGGGAACTGGCTGCGTCCTATTGGAAGTGCGCGGGGCCGCCCTTTTACTTTCCCCGGTAACTTTGCCGTGGCGTTGCGGCCACCCCGAGGGGACTTTCCTGAAGGTGTTTCGCCGGGGAGGGCCGGTGCCCAGAGGCCGCGGGCCGCCGAAACCTGTCATGGAGAAGTGGCGGGGACCCGTCCCAAGTGGAGGGACCACGAGGGAGGAGTGGGAAGGCCCTGCGGACCTGTTCAGGGGTGCAGGGGAACGACCAGCCTCAAGTTAAGGCCGCTGGTAGGTTAGGCGAACCACTGAGAACATGCGCTGTTACAGTTAAAAAGCAAAAAACTGCCAGATAGTTGTACCCAGTTAGCCACCGATGAGGAATTAACCGAGAACAGCATGCCGGAGTGGGAAGAACTAGCGTTACCAACAAGGGAGAGGGTTCGAGGCAGGTTAGGAAGGGGAGAGTGTGTGGTTGTCTGAGAATACCCCCAGCTCTTCCCTAGATCTCAGTCTTCAAGGAAACGCGACTCACGTTTGAAATTTTCAGTATCCAAATGCCGAGGTGACGCACGTTTTGGGGGTTTGTTTTGATCCTCGCGTCAAAAATGTTTGCAAATCTAGTTTACTTAATCGCGCAATTAACATTTGGTTTGACTGCCTAGTTTTGTGATACAACAGGACTCGAATTCTGAATGAAAACGGGTCGGTCTTTAACCAGTTCTACCTAGCAGCAATCAGAACAATGTGCTTACCATCAGAAGTAAGTATTGAGTGCCCGCAACCTGGTTTCACCACACGCATCACCTCGTTTTTATGGGTGATAAGTATCTGGGATTATGTATGCTTACATTTAATGAACGTTGCTTTTCTAGTCATGGTTTCCAAGACGAAATTGTGTACCTTGGGGAAAATAATCATAACCATAGTGCAAAAAGACAATTCGACCTGGTTTGTCTCGCTCTTCCTGGGCTGTTGGAACATGCTTTAAGTCACTATATGGCTTCTGGATCATTTTTACTAATTCTAGCCTAGTTTTCTTAATGTTACTATTCTAAGGGAGTCCTGGCAGGAGTGGGTCTGAAGCTTATGCAACTATGTGTGTGAGATGGGGTGGTCACACCGTGGGCCTTCCTTCCTCAGCAAGTGAGAGGCCCTGAAGCTCGAGCTTCTTCAGCCTCATGGAAAAGCTGCCTTACGAGGCCTGCCTGTAGTTTCTGGAAATAACATGAATGAACGCACACTGGATCTTCTTTCATAATCCCATTGAGATTTAGGCAATCTCTGGGGTTGCACAGGAAGATATATCCGGTTAACATGGCTTGGCTGAAGTAGCATTGTCTTTTTTACGGGGTGGACTTTTCAGATCTAAACGTTCTACTTTTGATGCAGTGTTGATGCTATCGCCAATTAAAACAAATAATTTTTAGGACATTTTGTCTTCGTACATATTTTAAAATTCTTTACTCCCCCATCTTAAATTTCATGAAGATTTAAGATCTTTTGTCAGCAAGCATGTGTACAAATGAAGCAATGATAGATTAAGAAATTCTTATTTTACTGTCAAAATGTATGAAATATATTCAGAGAATATATAGGTACTATGTGATTTGATACTCAAAAGTGTTTTTCATTAGGTAAGTGTGTTTTCTGATTACCTACTATTTGTAGCACATTCAGATAGGCATGATAGAGGCATGTGAAGATGGATAAGATGAGCCCTGTTCTCAGGGGGCTTACACTGTAGTGGAAAGCAACTCATGAACAGACATACTTTTAATGAACACAATGCCTGATAAGTGTCTTAACAGTTTCAAAAAATACAATAGTTACAAAAAAGTTTCTAAAAATACAATACTGGTCATGATAAATATTGCTTCTCCTCATCCCATTTTTGCCTTTGATGATTAATTTTAGTCATTTTGTGTGTTTTATATCAAGGAGTCTTACTGGTATTCAAATGGCTGAAGTTATAGGTATTTCATGTGGATGACTATATTTTAATTAAACTCTAGTCTTTAGTTTTATAAATGCATGTTTGTTTACATTTGGCTATGCAAAATATCTTTTAAGTTCAGAAACGTCAAGAATTTATCATATCTTCTTCAAACCAATACAAATACCCATTCACTTTTTCAATGAATATGCCTTGAATGCCATTGTATAGTGGGCATTGAGATTCACTAGTGAACAGAACCTAGTCCCTGCCTGCATGGTGCTTAGTGTGTGGGTGGGGTGGTGGTGGTGAGGGAGAGCAGACAGTAAATCCTTGTTGATAGTAAATCAACAAAGAAGTAAACATTTAATTAGATGATGATAAGACCTATGAAGGAAGGCCAAACCAGCTGGAGTGAGAATAATGGGGATGTCTTTTATATAGGGTGATCATGGACAGCTTCTCCAATGAGGTGAGCTTTGAGTGGAGGCCTGAGTCAAGTGACGGAGCAAGCTCTAAGATGCCTGGTGTAGGAGTGTTACAGGCAGGTGGAAGAGCAAGTGCAAGGGTCCTCGGGTAAGAGTGTGCTTAGCATGTTCTAGAACCACAAGGGCGCTCAGCATGGGTGAAATCAGAGGCAGAGATAATGGCACCATCAAGTAAATTAACATGATCAGTTCTCTACTAATTAATCTGGACAGTTGCATACTCAAAATAGTCAAAAGTATTCTTGTAATCGGTCTTGGTAGTCAAGTGACATTAATACCCAATGAGTAAATGATGAACCAGCTAATACTATCAGTCTTGTCTCTTTTCCAGAGTATCACCAGTTTAATGCTGAGGGGTCCAGAGTTCTGTTCCCTACAATGGATTAAATCTTGTACACTCCTTAATTCAGAGATGAATAAATGCACACACTCTAGAGGATCCCTGGGGATTCAAACTAAAAGAGGGACAAAGTGCAGATAGTGTTTGCTCAGACACGCCCACCTCCCTAAAACTTGTAGTGTAGTCTACTACCTTCAGCTGCCTTCTCCATTCCTTAACATTAGCCTTGTGCAAGATAAAAATTGCCCTTGCTGGCTTCCTCTTGCTCCTGTTCAGTTTCTACAAACTATATCCATCAGAAAACATGGACTTGTCCACTGCGTCTGGAGAACACTGCATAGTGTGTGCTTTAGTGACTTTCCCATCATCTGTGACATAAACTGACATACAGGCAAAGTTAACCTAACTGAAACAGAAGAAAATGCTGGACAACAGCACAAAAATCTGAGCTAATAAAAACAAGTTGAAGTTGATGCACATACTTGAAAATAGGAATCTCCACAGGAGATTTTAAAATCATTGCATTTCAAACTCATCTGAGTTTAAAACATATAAAATACAATCTGAGGCACCCAGGGTCCCAACCCAGCAGTGTTGAATCAGATTCTCCAGGAGAGAGCACAGGGAATCTGCATTTAAATAATGTTCCAGGCATTATAATTGCCTTAAGTAGGGCAACACTGTTTCAAATGAAACTTAATGTTGCTTTACCTAATAGATGCAATTTATATATAGCTCTTCAGGTGCATAGCCAGTGTGTAAATGAAAGAAACCTGTGGACTTTATGCTACATTGGATGAGCTCCTTCAGATATGATTTTAATGTGGTTATAAGACTTAGGCCTGCTGTTGATGTTGTTTGCTTTCATTGTTTTGCTGAACTGCTGCTTCTGGAAGAAAGGGGTCTTTTTGATAGGGCATATGTTTCCAGAGCTGCTAATGACCTGATTTGAAGTGATATCACCCACATGGGCCTCCACCAGGCTTGCCAAGGATTTTGCTAGGGTTTCTGGCTGAATGCCACTCATGTGTGAGCTGGTGTTCAATGTTTTGTGGG